CCCCCCCCACTGCCAAGTTGGGGTGAGGGGAGGCTGTGGGGCTGGGCCCAGCTGCGCGGCACCGGCCGGGTGCCAGCCTGCGGCGCTGGCAGGGCGGGCACGGTGCTGGCACGGCAGCGGCTCAGCCGCCTGGCCTGGGGGGGCTTCCTCGGGGGCTCACCCATGGGGTGAGCATCATCCCACGGCGAGGATGCAGGAGGTGACAATGGGGACGCAGCTGCCCTCGTGGTGGGACCCCAGCCCCGTGGGTGTCCCCAGCACAGGCGCAAAATGGAGAGGGTGCGAGGAGGCTCTGCACAAGGAGGATGTGTGCGGGGTCCCCGGCACCGTGCCAGCCCTTTAGGGCATCACACTGGTGTCCTTGTTGTCCCCCAGACTTGCTGCCACCATCCTGGTGGTGCCCAGCACCGGCATCCCCATCCCCAGCGGTGGGCACTGCTGGGGGTGCCGGAGGGACCCCGGTGAGCTGTGCCCCTCATCCCACGCGGGGCCGGATCCAGCTCTCCGGGCACACCGAGGGATTGGGATCCCATCCCTTGGAGGGACGAGGAGCAGCCCCTGCCCCTCCATCACTGCTTTTAGGGCAGGATGTCACCACCAGCAGCTCTTTCCCGGTGGCCCCGAGGGGCTGCGATGGGGCAGACCCCACCGGGGGGGGGGGACTCTGGCACCCCGGAGAGCCCGGCAGCGGGTGGTGGTGGCCGGGGCTATTTTTGTCCCTCTCTTTTCCCCGGCCCCAGCGCTGCCTCCCGTGCTGCAGCGAGACGAGCCAGCAGGTTGGGAGGCTTTTTTGCAACTTCCTCCGCCCGCGCCCGCTGCGGCTGCTGCTGCGTTAAAAGCAGGGCCCGAAAAATGAGGAAACGCGGGGCCGGCGCAGGAGCTGGGCAGGGCGGCGAGGAGCACAGAGGAGCTGCGAGAGGCCAGCTTCAGCGCCCGGAGACCCCCCCTTGTCCCCCACCGCCCCCTGCCCAGGTAACGCGTGTCCCCCTTCCTCCCTGTCCACGGGTGGCTTTGCTGGGGACACCCCGCGGGGTGGTTTTGGGGTGCCCCGGTGGTGTCAGGGGCAGCCGGGTGCCTTTTTTGCCGCTTGGCACCCAGAGCTGGGGTGAAACGGAGCCGCGGGGGGGGAGCAGGAGGCGCTGGGTGCCCTTGGAGGAAATCTCAGCGTGGGCTGAGCATCGCCACCGCCGCGTGTCCTGGCCTGGCCAGGGGGCTGCCCTGCACCCAGGGGGCTGCTGCGTCCCCAAAACGGCCGTGGGTGCTTCACCAGAGCCGGGCTGGGGCGCATGGGGGTGTCCTCGCTCGCTGCCCCTGTGCCCCCCCCCACCACTCCCTGCCTTTGAAAAACAAAAACCAGGAAGGAAGGCTCGGCGGGCGCTCGCTGCTCGTAGCAAGAAGCGGAGCTATTTTCACTTCTTTCTTCCCCGTTTCCTTTTCTCAGCCCTCGTGCTTCTCAATGAAGCAGCACAGGACCTGGGGGGGGGGGGGGTGGAGGGGCGGCACGGTCACCCCCCCACCCCTTCCCAGCTCCCCAGGGCCGGGGCAGGCTCAAGCTGCCGATTGATTTTTCCATTTGTGATGCCCACGAGCGACTGGCGGGGGGTGGCCGCGGAGCTTCCCGGTGTGCCGGTGATGGGGTGGGGTGGGGGACTCGGCCCCAATGCCACGAAACCCTGGGGCAGTGCCCCCCCCCCCCTTCTCCTCCCAGGTTGGAGGTGGTGCACTCACTGGGTGCTGCTGGGAGGGTAACGCGATCCTGCTGGGGCTGTGTCCAGGGACTGGCTCCGGGCAGGTTTTATTTTTAACCCCAACTTCTTATTTTTTTATTTTTATTTTTTGCCTTCCAGCCGCATCCGCGCTCGGAGGTGCGCTTGGGGGCGAGGCGGTGGGGGGCCGTGTGTGTGGGGACGGGGACAGCACCAGGAGCGGGGTGCCCTTGGCTGCTGCCCCCACTGCCTGAGCAGCTCTGGGGACACGTCTGCTCCTTTTTGGGGCCACTGGCCTCGTGTGGGGACAGCGGGTGGCTGTGGGGCCGTGCAGAGCCCTGTGGAGCAGTGCAGGGGTCCGTGCCGTGGGGCGCAGCTCCGGCTGTGCTTCTTCCCGAGCGCAGCCTGGGCACGGGAGGATCTGCCTGATGAAATAACACCCCCAGAGGAAAGGCAGGAAAGGTCCCGAAATAACCGTGCGGCTCGGTGGCACCGGGGGTGTTCTGAAGGGAGACAAATTCCTTGGCTCCGGCCTCGCACGGTGTCCGGGGGGGGCACCGGCAGCACTCACCCTGCTGCACGCGACCGGGAGGGACGCTGTCCTGGAGAGCCAAGGATTTTTTGCTCACACCGGGAGTTTTTCTCCCTAAAAGCTGCTGGGATTTTAGGGTGCGATGCTGCAGTGATGCGGGGATTTGCTTTTTCCCCCCCGAGGACCCAGGGGCAGGTCTGCGGCGTTCCCAGCACTCGCAGCACCGGGGGTTTCCTCCGGGAAATCCGTGCCGTCCTCCGTGCATCTCTTGGGGCAGCTTGGGCTCCCCGGCCTCTTTCCCTATTTCCCTTCTGCCTTCTCACCCTGTGGCTTGTTCCCACTCCATCCCCTTCCCGTTGCCTCCCACCACCCCACTCCATCCCTGGATCCGCTCGGTGACCGCCGGGGACATCGCCCCGAGCAGGTGCCCTGGCAGCACCCATGGGGTAACCCAACGCATCCTGACCCACCAGGGTCCCCTCCAGGTGAGGACCGGGTCCGGGCGAGCCGCTGGATGTGCTTTGCTCTGGCTGCGAACGCCTTTCTCCTTCCCAGGAGCAGCAGGAATCCCAAACGTGGTCCTGTCCACCCCAGAGATGCAGGATGTGTCCCCTGGAGGGGGACGGGACGTGTCCCCTGGGGTGCCTCCCCGCTCCCCGGCCCTCTCCCTCCTGGTGGGGCTGAGTCAGAGCGAAAGCAGAAGCTGCTGGGCACTCCGGGGGGGGCGCAGCCGAGCAGAACCGAGCGGGTTATTTTAAACCTGACCCAATTTCCCCCTCTGCTTATCGCTCGCTGGAGGCCGGGCCCTGCTCTGACCACCCTTCCCCATCTCGCCCTCAGGTGGCTCCCCTTCTCCGTGGCTTCGAGCAGGGGTTTCCCTGGGGGGGGTGGGGTGGGAAAAGCAGTGTTTTCTGCTCCCCCCGCCCCCGTTTCCTATACAGGGGCTGAGGGGAAGATCCTGCAGCCGGGCTGGTTTAGGGGGGACAGGGGATGACGGGTGCTGTGCTGTGGGTGGTTGCGCTCCGGCACGCTTCCCGTGACACCTTCCCGCCCCGTGCCCTTTCTGAAAAGTGTCCCTGGGAGCCCCCAAATCACCCCCCCAGCTCTGCGGCTCCATCCTCGCCCTCCAAACTGGGTTTTCCCAGCGCTGGAGGTGCCGGTCCCTCTTGTTTCACCTTCCCCCTGCTCCCCTCCTTGTCCTCCCCCTGTGCCCACCCAGCCTGGCCGCGCAGCCCCCTCGGGATGGTTCATGGGGCCTGGAGCTGCTGGCTTGGAACCAGGGCGGGCGATCCCACAGGGTCCCACGCAGGGCTTGAAATCCCTTCCTGCCATCCCCTTGTGCTGGAAGCAGCCCAGAAAACACCACTTTTTGGGGCTGGCTGCTTTTCCCCCTCCGTGCCCCGGCTGTGCCCACTCTGTTCCATGGCACCGGGAGGGCTCATTGCATGTCCCAGCTACTCTTGGAGGCTTTTCCTCTCACCTTGCGCTCTGTATTTGGGGTTATTATCCCAATAAGCTGTGATTTCTCCCCCTTCAGCCCTGTTTTATTCCTTACAGGCCGTCCCCTGGCAGCTCAGCTGTTGCTCATCTCCAGCATCCTCCTGCGCCCCCTCCAAGGCCGTTTGCGCCGGCTGTCCCAGGCCCGTCTCCTCTCTGCCCCCTTCAGATGGGCCACCATGCCTAATTAATTACCTTCCCCTTGCTGTTCAATAGCTGGCTCTTGAGCCATGTAATCGTATTTCTGTCCACGCTGCCTCGATTTAATTTCCCCCTTAGGATACGGCGTGGCACCGTGTGTCGGACACCTCGCCAACCCCCTGCATCCCCCGCGACCCCTTTGTCTGCAATTACATGTTGAGTTTAAACAGCAAAACCCTCTCCATTTCTCTGGGGGTGCTGCCCCAGGGCTGCCCTACAAGAGGGGACGGGGGCTTTGCAGAGCCCTGATCCCACATCCCCATCCCATCCCCGTGCGGCAAAACATCTCCGCGGTTCCCAGCCGAGCTTCGTACCCCGTGCCGGGCAGCTCATGCGGCTGTCCCCTGGCCCCGTGGCTGTCCCCTTGTCCCTGCAGCCTCCCCTGCCCTCCTCGGGCCACCGTCCCCTTTTGTACGGGGGAACAAGGGCAGCTCTGTGCGCTGTGGGGCCACGCACGCCTCTCCCCGCCGCCGCGCTCGCGTGCCGGCCCGGCACAAAGCCGCGTTGTTCGCCCGTGCCGTGGTGGAGGTTTGGTCGTGGCCCGCCTGCGGCGCCTGGCACGGGGCTGCCTTTTCTTCCCGGCCTTCCCTTGCTTTCTCTTTCTCTTTTGGGCTGCTCTGGCTTTTTGCTGCCCCTATTTTCAGAGCTTGGTGGCTCCAGAGCATGCTCCGATGCTGTGCCCCTCACCATCCCCATCTCCCCCAGGGTGTCCCCCGAGTCCCGCCGTGCCCTGTCCTCTCCTCCCCTCGTTGTCCCCAGGGCCAGCGGTGCCGTCACAGGGATCTGTGGGCAGACCCGTCCGTCCGTCTGTCCGTCTGTCTGTCATTAGGGCTGTCCTTTCTCACTCATCCACGTTGGGGCAGAGCCCAGCTGCCCCGGCGCGACGCTCGGTGCGCGGCTCAATGATGGCAGCACCCGAATCGGAGCCAAAATCTGAGCCACGGCTTCGCGGCACGGTTGGCTCCTCGACGTAGCGACATCAGGTGCAGGATCAGCAGGACGTCCCCTCCCCAGTGCCTCAGTTTCGAAGCAGGCTCTTATTCCTGACGCCTTTCTCCTCGTAGGGTCACCTCCGTGCCTGGTGGGCGCCCGTGGCCCCCCGCCCCCCCGCTGCACCATGGCGTCCCGCATCGGGCTGCGGATGGAGCTGATGAAGCAGCAGGCGCAGCAGGAGGCCGAGAGGGAGCGCATGCAGCAGCAGATGATGATGAACTTACATGCAGCAGCAGCGGATGCCGGTGGCCTCCAGCCCGGCCATCAACACCCCCGTCCACTACCAGTCCCCGCCGCCCGTGCCCGGAGAGGTCCTCAAGGTAACGGTGCCGGGGAACGGGTTGGAGAGGGTGGAGATTTGGGGGATCCCTCAGCGACGTGGGGGTCCTGACGGGTTATTTCCACGCAGGTGCAGTCCTATTTAGAGAACCCCACCACCTACCACCTGCAGAAGTCGCGGGATAAAAAGGTGCAGGCGTACCTCTCCGAGACCTACGGGAACAAATTCGCCGCCCACGTCAGCCCCGCCAGCCACTCGCCAAAACCCCCTCCGGCCGCGTCCCCCGGCGTGCGGCCCGGCCACGTCCTCTCCTCCTCGGCGGGCAACAGCGCGCCCAACAGCCCCATGGCCATGCTCAACATCGGCTCCAACCCCGAGAGGGAGGTGAGGAGGGGGCAGCCAGGGCTGCTGGGTGGGCACGGGGACCCTCGGCACGGCCTGGAGAGTGACCCCGTATGGCTTTCTCTTGCAGTTCGATGAGGTCATCGATGACATCATGCGCCTGGATGATGTTTTGGGGTATATGAACCCCGAAGTCCACATGCCCAACACGGTGAGTCTTGATTGAGGGAGGGTGGCCAGGGGGGGTGCCTGTGGAGGGGGGACAACACCGGGCAGAGCTGGCTCGGACCTGAGGGGGGGGACGGGGAACAGTTTGGGGAGGCCTGGCCTGGGGCTGGGGAAGGGGGGCAGTGAGATGGCCCTGCCAGCGCTTCAGCTTCTTGTGCTCTTTAATGACAGTCCGGAACCCTAAAAAAATGCATGAGCAATGGGACAGGGGCACGGGGGGTGTGGAGGTGTGGTACGGGGAGACATGCCTAACCCTAACACTAACCCTAAGCCCTAAACCCTTACCCTAATCCAAACCCCTAACCCTAAATATAAACCTAAGCCTAACCCTTAACCCCTAACCCTTAACCCCTAACCCCTAAATACTTGCTCTAACCCTAACCGTAACCCTAACCCTTAACCCCTAACCCTAACTCTAACCCTAACAATAACCCTGACCCTAACCCTAAAACTAACCCTAACCCTAACCCTAACCCTAACCCTGCCCCGAACCCCTAACCCCAACCCTAACCCTAACGCTAAAACTAACGACGGATCTAACCATAAAACTAACCCCTAACCCCAAACCCTAAGCCTAACCCCTAACCCTAACCGTAACGACAGATCTAACCCTAACCCTAACCCCAAACCCTAACTCTAACCCTAATCCTAACCCGGAACCCTTTACCCTGACCCTAACCCCTAACCCTAACCTCTAACCCCGAATGCTACCTGTAACCGTAACCCCTAACCCCAACCCTAACCCTAACCTTTAACCTTAATCATAACCCTAACCCCAACCTCTAACCCTAACCCTATCCCCTCCCAGGAGCTCTCCCGGCGCAGCGCCGCCTCCCGGGGCCGGGTCCGTGGGTTGGTTTGAGCCTTGCAGTGGGATTCATCCTGCCAGGCCCTTTTGGGATGTGATTCACCTGCCCTATTTTAGATGCTGGCCGTGGGAGGGGATCAGCTGCGCCCTTTGAAGTCCTGTTTTCTTGGCGACTCTGATTATAGCTGCTTTAAGGGCCCGGGAAGACAATTATACCTGCCCAGTCTGCGCACTCGCGTCCTGGAGGCCAAGGAGCTGATCTTAAACCCCGATCCCATTGCCGAGCCTCTCTCCCGGCCCCGGATGGAGCTGACCCTCCTGTCCCTTTGCTTTCCAGCTGCCGATGTCCAGCAGTCACATGAATGTGTACAGCGGGGACCCCCAGGTGACCGCCTCGCTCGTCGGGGTCACCAGCAGCTCCTGCCCCGCCGACCTCACCCAGAAGAGAGAGCTGACAGGTACGTCCCCAGCCCCACAGCACGTCCCCAGCCCCACAGCATGTCCCCAGCCCCACAGCATGTCCCCAGCCCCACAGCATGTCCCCAGCCCCAAAGCACGTCCCCGGCCCCAGGGAGATCCCCATGGTTGGAGCCCGCGGTGACAGCGAGGAGCGGGGCTGGCCGGGGTTCCCCTGTCCCAAGGATGGCTCTGGGGGAGGCTGTAGGGGCGAGACGCAGCCTCAGCCTCTCGGGGTGATGCTGTGGGTCTCCGTTGCAGATGCCGAGAGCCGAGCCCTGGCAAAGGAGCGCCAGAAGAAAGACAATCACAACCTGAGTGAGTTGGGGGCGGCACGGCGCTCCCTGTCCCACCCCAGCACCCTCCGTCCTCCTTCCCTCTCTGTCTGAGCCGGGTCCCCTTCCCCTCCTGTCTCACCCTAGGGGGAATACCCCCACGGCCACCCCTTCCCCAGCTCTGCAAAACACCCGTGGGGCCGAAAACACCCGCTTGTTGTTCCCATCAGCACCGGGGGAAGGTCAGAGCTGCGGGGGCGATGGGTGGGAGTGGGACCAGAGGTCACCCCTGAGCCCCGGGGATCTCAGTGCGCACGGACAGGAGGAGCTCTGCCTCCCCTATTTCAGCTCCCAGCTTTCCTTACACCCCGCTGGTTTTTCACCCTGAGCTCCCCGAATCCAGAGGGTCCCATAGGGGCACGACAATGTCCCCACTCCCCACGAACTGAGGAGCTCCCCCCCACCTCCTCACCTCTCCCCTCTTTTCTCGCCCTGCAGTTGAGAGGCGGCGAAGGTTCAACATCAACGACCGCATCAAGGAGCTGGGGATGCTGATCCCCAAAGCCAACGACCTGTAGGTATCCCCGGCGGCTGTGGGGCTGGGACACCCGTGGCTCTCGTGGGCTTGCTCCACGCCGTGCGCGGCCCCATGGCAGGAGATCCTTGGAGAGGGGCGTTTTTGGGGGAGCGGGTGCAGGCAGCAATCCTTTGGTGTTTTTTTTTTTTTTTTTGTTTTGTTTTTTTTTTTTTTTTTCCATCCTGCACCGCAGGGACGTGCGCTGGAACAAAGGGACGATCCTGAAGGCTTCGGTGGACTACATCAAGAGGATGCAGAAGGACTTGCAGAGGTCGCGGGACCTGGAGAACCACTCGCGGCGGCTGGAGATGACGAACAAGCAGCTGCTGCTCCGCATCCAGGTGAGCTTCCCCGTCCTCTGCCCTGCTCTGCAGCTGCCAGCACACCTCCCTCCTGCCCCACCAGCGGGGCAGAGCCTCCCTCCCTCTTTTTTAGGGCTGCCAGCTCACTGGGAACACCGTGGGCTGAGGCCACCGCGGTGAGCTCTGCGTGGGTCACCGCTCCTGTCCCTCCCCATGAGCTTCCTGGTCCTTTTGTCCCATTTTCCCTTCCATTTCTGTGCCTCCCTTCTGCCCTCCTGCCTCCGTGCGCCCTGTCCCCGTGTCCCCACGTCCCCACCGAGTTTTCCTACGCTCTCTGGGCAGGAGCTGGAGATGCAGGCGCGCGTCCACGGGCTGCCCACCTCCTCGCCCTCGGGTGTCAACGTGGCTGAGCTGGCCCAGCAGGTGGTGAAGCAAGAAGCCGGCGGGGACGAGGGGACGCTGGAGCCGCTGCTGCCCCCCCAGGACCCCGAATCTCAGCCGACGCTGCCTGCGCCGCCGCAGTCTCCCTACCACCAGCTGGACTTTACCCACAGCCTGAGCTTCGACGACGGCTCCCGGGGCTTCCCGGATAGCCTGGAGCCCGGCCACGGCGCTTCTTTCCCTTCGCTCTCCAAGAAGGAGCTGGACTTGATGCTGATGCAGGACACCATGCTGCCCCTGGCCTCCGACCCCTTGTTCTCGGCCATGTCCCCGGAGGCCTCCAAGGCCAGCAGTCGCCGCAGCAGCTTCAGCATGGAGGACGCGGACATGCTGTGACCAGGAGCTGCGCCCGCGCTGGGGGCGAGGACTGAGGGCCTTCGAGTTTGGTTGCTGAAGTCACGGCGAGCTCTTCCTCCCCTCCCCGGAGGAGGAGGAGCCCGTCCCGCCGAGCACTTGAATCTACGTAGGAGTACATTTTCTCTATGCAATGGGGTGGGGGTGGGAGGGGGCTCGCTTCAAGGCTCGCCGGGTACCGCCACGTCTTTTTGCAAGCTTTTTATTTTATTTTATTTTATTATTTTATTTTCGCCCGGAGCTGGAGCCGACCTTCTTGGCTTGCCATGGCATTGGCCTGACTGCAGCTTTCCCAGCCCCTCGGCTGCTTTTCGCCTTGCAGCAAAACCCTCTGGGACCTCACTCCTTCCCCGGGGCTTGGAGGGGAGCGAGGAGCCCCCCAGTCCCCGGAGGGAGAGGATGCTCAGAGCTTTTTGCCTTGCCGCCCCCTCGCCCCCCTCCCAGCTCCGGTGGCCCCACAGATGCCATCGGTGGCTGTGTCACGCTGCCACCTCCCCGTGGGGGCTTCTCCTTCCCTGCTGGGGGGGCAGGAGCGGTGCTGCCCGCCCCCACCAACCTCCTCCTCTGGGTAGTGGGGAGAGCAAATTAATTCACGAGGCACGGGAGGGGTCCTGTGAATTTTGTTGCTTGGTGTCCCGGGGTTTGTTCGGGTGTGCAGCTCCTCCACAGCTCGTGCAAACCCTTTGGGGGGGGGTCTGGCAGCACCCCAAACCCCGCTGTCACCTGGGCACCGGTGACATTCACCGGGAGCTGGGGCCAGGGGGGTGAGCTGCCCAACGCGAAAACGCTGCTCTGACTTGTTGGGAAACCTAAAGCGGGGTGCAGGGGAAAGCTGGAGAGAGGAGACCCCTTTGCCAAACCCCATTAGAGCACGGCGTTACCCCCCCCCGGGCTGCGGGAGGTTGGGTGTTGGAGAGGGCGGGTGCACGGCCAGGAGCTCGTATGGGGACGAGGGTCACGTTGTGCACCGAGGACGGGGAATGTCGTGGCTGGCGGGGTCAGGACGCGATGGGAAAGCGGGATGGAGAAGGAGCAACGAGGTGGGGGCGCGGGGTGGCACGTGGGGTGGCCCCGGCGCCCCCCGGAGAAGCTCCCATGGGACGTGGAGGGTGCGGGGAAGTGCGGGGACGAGAGGAGGGAAGGGGCAGAGAGGTGCTGGCGGTGCCAGGCAGGGGCAGGCGAGCAAGGGGATGGGGGGGACACACCGGCTGGGTGGGATGCACGCCGGTGGGTTTGGGGCCGTTTCACCCCAAAATCTTCACAGGAGGCCTTGGCGTCCTTGGTGCGCTGCCGTTAGTGCCTGTAAAGAGACTGATCCTGGCGGGCGGTGCCCCCGCGCTGTGCCACCACCAAGCCCTGTGGGATTTACCGTGGCCATAAAACGGTTGCACCAAAGCCCCCCCGTGCTGCTATATGGCACGCGGGGGGCTGGCTGGGGCCCCCACCGGTGGTCGTCCGCATCCCCCCCCCCCCCAGGCCGTGAGTTAGCAGTTGTGGATTATTATTATTATTATTATTATTTTTTAATCTTTTTGGGGTTTTTGTTTGTCTTTTTTTTTTTTTTTTTTTTTTTTAATGCACTGTGCTCTGATTAAAAAATTTTACTACTGTTTTATAAAGAAATGTATAAAAGAATGAACTGGAATGGAAGAAGAATCATTAAAATATATTTATTTACAACACGCCGGAGCCTTGCAGCGTGGCCTTGGTTCTTCTCTACCCGGAGGAGGGAGGTGGGGGGCACCCAGAGCCCTGTCCCCCCCGTGGTGCTGGGGCATAATCCCCATTTCTCCCAGGGCTGAGCTTGGGGGCTGCCCTTTTGGTGCTTTTTTAATTTATTTTTTCCAGAAATCCCAGGTTGGTTGGAAGGGGGAGCGCTGGTGCTGCTCTGACTCAGCCCCCCCAGGGTGGTTTGGGGTTTTTTTGGGGGAGGGGGGATGCTGTTCTGCAGCTCCTGGTGGTGCTGACCCAGCTGCTGATTGCTTAATGGGAACCAGGCCCCCTAATTAATAAATAGTTGTGAGGCCCCAGGGAAGCAGGGCTGGGAGGAACCGAGTCCCTGGAGCTGAGCAGCTTCGTGGTGGCCCTGCCTGACCCTTGTGGGGCCGTCCCAGGAGCTCAGGTGGGTCTCCTGTTTTTGGGGTCACCTCTGGATTAGGCCTGGGGTGCTGTGGTGTCCCTATGTGGGGTGCCCGGACCCCCACCTCATGGGGCACGGTGGTCCCACTGCCTCCACACCGTGCCCCCACAGCCCTGGGGGAGCTGGGCAGCCACACACCCTGCAATTAGCATCCAGCTGGTTAATTAAACCCCGGGAGAAGGGGTGTGCATGGTGTACTGGGGACATGGTGGTCCCCGAAAGCTGGTGGGCTGGGCATGGGGTTGAGCCCCCACCTGGGGAAGCTCATCCCACCCCATCCAGGTCCCTGCTGCCCCTTGGCCACCGCATTAAACACACATAGAAGAGAGAAAACAAAAAAAGAAAAATAAATAAATAAATAAATAAAAAGAAAAAAACAAGATTCGGCCTTAAAATAGACTTCCCAGGGTGGAAAATCGCAGGGGCTAATCTCGGAAACTTTATTAAAAGCAAAAGGGGAGAAAAAGAGAGAGAGGAGGCTTGGGGGGGAGAGAGGGAGTAAGTGGTTTCAGCCACTTCAGGAAAAAAAAAAAAAATCCTGATTTGATTTATCTGGGGAGTGTGAACACTAAATAGAGAACAACGCCTGAAGTGTGAATTATTTCCTATATTAACACAGAGAAAAACTGATAGCCTTTTCATGTCAAGAGAATAGCGCGGAGGGGAGGGGGGGGGGCTGACATTGTTCAATCTCTGGGTTTGCTCACTCTTTATCAGGCTGAGATCAAAATTTATTCCCAGGATGAGGCCTGCGGCCCGGCTGAGGCCCTAGAGATTTTTAAGGGCCTAATTAAGAAAACAGGATGAAAATGGCGAAATAAGAGGGCAATTTACTTCTTGCAGAATAGGGAGATCAAATCAACTTATGAGCAATTAATGTGCACAAGGAGAGAATAAAGGGATGCCGGGATATGGTAGAGGGCCTCATTTTAATGACATGCTCTGGTGTTGGCATAGAGGATTACTCTGAAGGTCAGATGTAGATTGAAACGACCTTGCAGATTCTTAACCCTCCTTCCAATTAACAGAACCAACTCAGAAATGCAAAAGAGCCTGGCTTGGAGCACTGTCATCCCTTTATGTTCGGAAGGGAGGAGGGAAGAAAAAAAAAAAAAATTATAAAGGAGAGAGAGGACGAAAGGGGGTTTCCTTCGCCTCGACAACAGCTGCTGGAGACGGGGAGAGAAGGGCTCTTAATTACAGCGTGCGAGCCACCCGCAGAAAGAAAAACCGGTGTCGGGGCTGCGAGTGGGATGGAAAGGGAAGGAGGGAGGGGATGGAGGGATGGAGCCAGCCGGGCTGCGATGAGCTGCAAAGGGGCTCTGCGCATGGGCTGGGTGGGATGGATGGATGGATGCATGGATGGATGGACGGACAGACGGACGGACGGGTGGACAGGCTGGCAGAGCAGTGGGGATGGGCTGCAGGGCTGCTGCTGCTCCTGGTGCTGCCCGTTTGGGTGTAGCCAAATTTATTTTTGATTTATTTAGCCAAATGTTCGGGTGTAGCCGAAGCTGTGTCAGCACCCGCTGGGTGTCCTTGAGCCCTTTGGTACTCGCTCCCGGTGGTACCGCTAGCTTTGAACTCTTTGGGACTGTTTTCCATCACCCCACGCAATATCCCAAGGTGGTTTTTTGGGGATAGGAGGGAGGGCAGGCTGCAAATAGCCCCAGCAGTGCTGTGCCCCCCTTGTGTTTCCCATGGGCATCGCCTGGGTCCTTTGGGGACAGCCACGTCCCCCTGCTCTAAAGGGGCTCTCAACATGGGGCTCATCCCCCGGTTACCCTAAAAAGAGAGAAGAGGAGAGGTGATCCCTCATCCCCAGGTTCAGGGCAGGTTCAGGAGCATCTGAGAACACCCATGGGGGCTCGCAGGGCTGGGGGACGAGGGCTGCGTTTGGGGGGACGTGGTGCTGGTGGCTGGGCAGGAGCAGGAAGGCTGCACAGGGCCTGAGCAGCCACAAGAGAGAGCCAGACTGTTGCTGGAGAGCCCCAGCTCCTTGCCGAGCCCAGCTCTGCCTCCAGGTTTGGCTGGGGAGGGAGCCCAAAAAAGCATCCCTGGCTCCCCAGGCTGGGGCGCACCTGGAGGTGCTCAGGGGTGGCAGCACGTCCCCGGCTCTCCGTCCCCATGAGGCATCCACCCAGCAGTGAATCCTCTCCTCCTCTCTCTGGGATGCTTTGGGGCTGCAGAGGGACCCAGCAGGACGAGGCACAGCCGGTGGTGAGCCACGGTCCTGGCCCAGGACGTGCCACCCCGGGTGCCACCGCTGCTGCCACCAGCGCCCTGTGCCAAGGTTTCCCTGCAGGTCCCTCAGCGCTGCCAACAAACTTGCTCGGGTTTTAAAGTCCCTTGAAACTGCAAATGTGACTTTTTGAGAGCCTAAAGCCCTTTTACCTCTGGGCTGAGCCACAAACTGAGCTGCAGCAGCTCCGTGGGCAGCCAGGACAGGATAAAACCCCCCTGCGAGGCTGAGCTGTGGGCACCGAGCCCCACGGGAGGACGCGGCCGTGTCCTCCCCACTCTGCTCCATGGGCAGGGGGCTGGGGCTGGGGGGGGCTCTGCTGGATTTTGGCTAAGCTGGGTTTGTCTGAGAGCAGCAAGGTTCCTCGTCCAGAGCCCTGTGACTTCCCCAGCACCACCCTTCACGTGCAGCTGGCCAGGCGTGCGTCCAGGTCCCCTCGCCAGTAGTGCTGGGAGGTTCCCAAGTCCCAAGGAATTTTCCTAAAAAAAGTTTGCTCAAAGAAGGCGGGGAGGGAAACTTTAATAAAACAGAAGGTTGGCTTGCTCCTGGCCCCAGCCCCGAGCAGGGCAGCCCTTCCCCAGGATGGAAGCAGAAGAGCAGCAAGGAGCCTGCGATGGGAGCTGGGGGTGGGCAGTTCGGGGGCTTTCCCTGCTCCACCCCAAATCTCAGCCTCTATGGGATGGGTGTGGGGCTCGGCAGCAAGCCTGGCATGGGCCCAGCTGGCCCTGCAGTCTGGAAGCCATCCCCTGTCTCGCTGCTGGGCTGGTGCAGAGTTTTCCTTCCCCCCTCCCCATCTCCTTTCATTTCCTTTCTGGCTCTCGCCGAGCTCCTCCCGTGCTCCGAGCTCCTGGGGCTGCTCCTGCGCCTCCGTCCCCACCTGGAGCCCGAGCCGGTGACGTGCTTCGGCCGGGGGTGGTTGTGGCAACGGTTGGGATGAGCTCAGAAGGAAGGGCTGGCTTTTTTTTTTTCAGGTGGGGGAATAGGCAGCTTGGCTTCCAGAACCCCATACAGCTCTTTGCAAGCGAATCTGTGCGCGCAATAAAGGGCGGGAGAGGGGGAAAGCTGTGATGTCCATCCAGGAACCGCATCCAAGGGGAGGGGGCGAGGTTGGTCCCTGCTTCTGAAGGGTTACCCTGGATGTGTTTGGCCTGTTTTTTTTTCCTCCAGCAGCTTTTTAGGGCTGCGGGGAGCCCTTGCAGAGGGTGGGATCGCTGCTGGGATGCCTGGTGCCTCTGTGGGAGCAGCCGTGTGCCATAAGCCAAGGGGCAGGAGAAGCTGGGCAGAAGGACAGGGGCTGGCTGGGCGAAGCACTGCAGGGAAAAAAAAACCTTGGGAAGACATAAATGAGGTGCAGGAGGCAGAATGCAACTCGTGGGGAAGGCCACGGTGTGCCTCAGTTTCCCTGCAGCCGGGATGGTGATGCAGAGGCTGACACGGGGGCGATGCCACGGCGCTCGCTGCGGTGCAGAAGGCAGCTCAGGTTGGTTTGGGGGTGCAAAGCCTCCAGGCTTGAGTCCTGCAGCGCAAAAACCCAAGCCCCTGGCCATGTACAGCCCCATATGCTGCATTTAGTTGAGATGAGCTGGGCTCCCCCTCCCTGGTGAGGAGCAGAGCAGCAGGAATTCGTTCCCCCCCCCAGGTCTCTGCTTCAGCCAAGTGGCCCCGCTCCAGAGGCAGAGTTGGCGCAGGATCCCCAGTGGGCTCAGGAGCAGCAGCCCAGCTGGATTTTCCATGCCTGACGCTGAATTTACAGCACTGGATGCTGGAGACGTTGTGGGCTGGCTGGTGGCTCGAGCGCAGTGTCCCTGAGCCAGCAGCAGAGCCCGGTCCCTGCGCCCAGAGCTTGGCACAGCGTGGCCCCGAGATCGGGAAGGTGGGAAAGGGGCAGCGGCTGCAGGAGGGGTGGTTCGAGGCGTGGAGGTGTCGGGATCCAAGGGGCTGGGACCAGCTGCACCCCATTTGTCCCAGTGTTTAGAAACCCTCTTGGAAACCCAGTCCCCTCGTGCAATTCCTGCAACCCCCACCCCCCGAAGTGACCACCACGGGCACGCGGGGTGCCCCTCTTCCAACAAACCCAACCCCAAAGCCTTTTAGCAGCCTGTTTTTCCCAAGGATGCTCCGTTTGGGATTCCCCTGGATCCTGCCCTCGGATCCCTGGGCTTTGGGCTGTGGGGACCTTGGAAATTGGGAATTCCTCGTCCCGAGCCCCTTTGGGGTCCTGCTTTGGGTTCGTGCATCTCTCAGGCCACTGCGGAGTTCTGCCTCTTCCCCCGTGCTCCGAGCTGGTTTAATCAGCTCACAGTTTTC